TGTGAAATAAAGAAGTCGTTATTGTAATATCTGGGCGGTCTCGACAAAATACATATTTGAACATGTCATAAATAATGAACAATCTTAAATAATAATTGTAACAATTTTATATTAGAAAAATATACGCCCCTAAGCGTTAGACAATGAAGGTTAAACATATACAGAATTATTATCATGAGACATCTATATTTTACGAACAACGTCATCATTACAAAAACAAGTTAGCTGTAAAACAAAGGAGTCATTATTGTAAAGTCGGGGGCGCCCACGACGATATACATATTTTAACATGAAATAAATAATGAGCAATCGTTAATAATATAACAGTATAACAATTTTACCTTAGAAAAATATATGCCCTTGAGCATAAAGCAACGGAAGCTAAACATACAAAGAATTATTATCATGAAACATCTATAAACATTACAAATATAAGATTACACAGAACAATTAACAACAAAGTACTTAAAGAATATTACCTGCTAACTAATGACACTTTAACCAATTAACTTTTCACTACTTTGACACACTGCCCGCCGATCGTCTTACTGCTGATCTCCACACTGTTCGCACTTCAACTGACTATCTTCAACTATTTAGGCTTCCTTCCAGAATTTCCTACCTAAGTGCCTGTTTTTTGTGCTTCCTTCTATCGACCGTTAATATTACTTTTTCATTGTTATACAACACCTATGTAACAGGTGACGTCGAAGTTGATAAGATAAGTACGGTTTTGCACAAAGGCTAGGTTAATTATCCAATAATCGGTAAGTCAAGATTCTCTCTCGATAAACCTTTATAGGTCAGCGATTAGTAGCGGTCTAAAGGGGAGTTTAAATAATGATTTGGAATTTTTTTTTTTCAGCATAAATATGCATTATAAAATTTTTTAAGGCGTATTCGTAGTCTACTAATTTTTCCCTATATTCATGGGCTTGTAGCTAGGAAAAAAAACCAAACACTTTCTCGCGATCAGCGACTTCTCGATATATGACTGATGTATACATCAGTCTAGATCAGCCGACACCATAGAGACCTAATAAGACACAATTATTCTTAAACTTGTATGAGAAATAAACTTCTTAATTTTTGAAATTCCTTTGTGTTGAAGACAAAAGAAGGATCCTTTTGTCTTCAATCATCGATATTTTCCATTAAAAGTCCGATATGTCGAAAAATGGTCGTATCAGGAGTGAAAAAAAAAAGTTTTGTAGCTCTAAGATTGTAGTTTTCAGATCATTTGGTCGAAATTTTTTAGGAACTGCGGTTATCATGCAATTTTAAGAAAGCGCGACAAAAAAATTCTATTTTTTTTTTGAATCCTTGGACTTGGAAATTTTTTTTTCAGCTAAGCCATTGCATGGACCAGATACCCTGTTTATTCAGCTTCAATTTCCTTCTTTTTAATTTTCGATGAAAAAAATTAAAGGGTCACGTTTTTTGAGCTTAAACACTTCATAATCATGATTAATATGTAAAAAAAAAATTCAAAATTGAATTTTCTTTTTATTTTTGCACCCGTGGAACCCCCAGAGAGGTTTAGATAAGCACAGTTTCATAAAATAATGTTCGGCTGATCAATTTTCAATTTTTTCCATAGGGACAGAGACCAAAGCAAACAGAGAAAATACATTGTATATTGTATGTAAAACACTCGTAAAAAATCTGTCCCTTTACTACCGTCAATATCCAAATTACCAGCATTAAACCACCGCCGTAATTATCGATATACCAACAGTCCATTATACATACCCACAATGAGCGATTCGTCGACCCGAGCTCCATTTGTTCCGACAGTATATTTGATAACATTCATTTGCTCAGCCTCACGCTCCGTGCTAGGCACATGCAAACGCTTTCAGGGATATTACGGCGCTAAAAGCTCGTGCTAGTTCACGCACAGGCCGCGATGTGCGTGCTTTTCGAAGAGAACAACTACGCGTTGCAGGTGCCGTTCAAATTACGTCGTATCATAAATGAATGAATTCGCTCGTGATGGTAAATTTAATCAGTCGGATTTTATTATTTTAAGCCCCGGAGGCGTGGAAGAAGGGAGGAGAACGGAGAACAAAAGACGTGTTAGTAGAATGACTTTACAGGGTGTGACACAAAGGAATTTCAAAAATTAAGAAGTTTATTTCTCATACAAGTTTAAGAATAGTTGTGTCTTATTAGGTCTCTATGGTGTCGGCTGATCTAGACTGATGTATACATCAGTCATATATCGAGAAGTCGCTGATCGCGAGAAAGTGTTTGGGTTTTGAAATATGTTTTATTTTCATAGCTACAAGCCCATGAAGATAGGGAAAAATTAGTAGAATACGAATACGCGTTAAAAAATTTTATAATGCACATTTATGCTGAAAAAAAAAATTTCCAAATCATTATTTAAACCCCCTTCTAGACCGCTACTGATCGCTGACCTATAAAGGTTTATCGAGAGAGAATCTTGACTTACCGATTATTGGATCATTAACCTAGCCTTTAATGTGTTTTTAATAGTGAATGACAAAAACAAGCCCTTCTATCTAGACATAGGAATGAATAAGATATTTTTTTTACATTTTGAATATTAACAAGTATTATTTATTTGTTAATAAAAACTAATATATGTATAAGGTAATAATTGTTTTCGAATGTTAGGTTATTGCAATTTAGAATTTATAATATTGTACGTTTTCCCTATGTTTTATAATTGAATATATTTGTTCAATTAATTATTCAGTTTCTAGTAGGTATAGCTTATTGTGTGACTTATTGCTTTTAAAAGACTAGGATCGTACCTACCTATTTAAAATGTCAGTACGGCTAAAACAACATTCATTCGTTCATATTCATAATGTTCCACTACACTTTATTTTTAAACCAATTCAAAATTTAAGACCACTGGGGAAATTAGCTGTTTCGCTTCAACGTTCATACGCTCTGTGGTGCGTCGGCGCGTTCCCATTCAGCGAATGCAATGTAAAATAAGGCGCCAAATTAACGGTAGTTAAGGGATAATTTACTTATTTTTTAAAAGGTCGAGTAAATTTTTTTTCGATTTTCTGTCTTTCACACGTGGTTAAAATTAATGATATTATAACTGAAGCACCCTGTAGATACTGCCTTAAAGAACTGGGCACTCTTTTTTGTATGCCTTTCATCTATCTCACACCTTTGCAGTTATAGCTTTTACTATTAACACCTTTGCTTATTTAAACTTTTTGTCACAATTTCGATCAGCGGGACAAAAACACTATCTTTTGCACGTAAGATTTTTGTGCTCTTTCACTATTTTCCAGTTTACCCAATACACAAAAATTGGCGGGAATAAATGTAAGTGCAATTTCTTCTAGTATAGTTACAAATAGTCAAAGCTTGTAAATTATACCCAAAAATAAGTAAATCAGATAAATGTTAATTAATGGAATATGCAAATATTATACCAACATAAGCCATATGGGACAAGGGTAAATCAATTGCTATACAGCACTGAAGTCTAGAGTGTCTTTTGCGATGGCCAGGAGATTTATTCTGGTTAATACACTGCAAGTCATCAGAGTAGATGTTCGGACTCGTGACTTGGCGGATCCGCAGGGTTTGCCCTATTGGGGAAATCTGATTAGTTATTACCCTTTATATGTTCTCTTGAAATTTTGTTATAAGAAAGACTAAAAATTGTCTTTCTTGGCAAAAAAACAATACAAAATACTAGTGACATAGTGTATCAAAGAAATACATGAGGTGTATTCATACCTTTGATTTCTATTAGGCACTTTGTATTTAAAGTATTTGTATTCTTTTCCAAACATCGTAAGGTGGAATATGCAGCAAAACATGTTAAACTAATATTATGGAAACTCACTTACCTGCTTAGTCTTTATTAGATCCTTGACTGTTTGTTGATTTATTAATTTTTGTAACATCATTACTTTGATGTTTTCTAGAAGATTTCGGGATGAGACAATTTTTTCTAACATAAAATACAGAAATGTCAAAACAAGGAAATATATTTGTTTATTGATTTTGTATCAGGTGGCAATAATCGAAATTTAAACTTTTAAATTTTAATGATAATAAACCGCTTTTGTTTTCATCGGAGTAATACCAGCGGCGTACCATGTTCAAAGGTATAGTCTTTCCGATTTCAATTGAAGACCAAAGAGCTGGGGCTATGTACCAGGTTCGGTCGCTAAGCAACAACTTGGCATTGAAATATTTGAAGAACTTGTTCCCATATTTATATATAGGTCTGGTCGAACTAAACGTGGAAAGTGGTAGAAATGTATACGCCGAGTTGAAGAATACGCGCGCGGGCAAACGGAGTACAAACACAGCCGCACTGGGCGACTGGCCATAAATTTCAGTTGTTGATAAATTGTCTAGCAGTGCAGTACAGCAATGCGGAATTGTTTTATTGTTGATTATTTTTGTAACTTTTCTAACCTAAACTAACAACCTTTCCTGACAAGGATATGTTCATACCTTCCCGTTGGCTCTTGCCGAGCAGTAATATATTTTAATGAAAATGTAAATGTTTTTTGATATGTCATAGCCAAAATTTACCGTCAATATAATACAATTGTTTGAAGACATAAATAATTAAAATATGTTGTTGGCCAAATGTACATATAATAGAAATTTTCCACACATATATTAATAATAATTATTATTTACCTTCAGCAGAAAACTTTTTTAGGGACGCCTACGAAACTCATTAAATTTTATTGCTAGGCATTTCTATACATGTTCAACTGACTTCGGAATCGGAAAGACTATAACCTGATGAACTAACTATTTTTGTATAATTTATAAGAAAATTATAAAAATATAATAATAATAATAATAATAATAATAACAATATATGTATTATACATATTATAAAAATATAAAGCAAATGTTTGAAATCTATTCTCTTTATAGAAAACTTTCTTTTACGGGAATATACCTCTTAAGAGCCAATCTAAAACTACATATTTATTTAAAAGTTACATTTGGGACGTTGAAATAAAAGACAGTTTTCAGTAAATACTATAAATCCTTTTATTTTGTCAATAAATTTATTCACATAGTATTTTTTACACAGGCTCTCTGAGCAAAGTATTGTAAACACCCATTTGTATCACATTAAAATTATGGAAGTGTGTAATTAAATTAAATTAACAATTTAAGGCTATTTTATCGAAAACAAGTATCACCTGTGGAATAACAGAAGCAGGTAGACAGGAACTAGCGTGATGGCTTCGTAACGATACGTCGATCGGGCGTGACTGTCGACCGCGGGGTAGAATATAACTGTAAAAGAAAGTATTTTTAATTTGGACCTTTTGAAGTCGCAGACTCTGATGGAAGGGGCAGAATCAGCTTTATGGAACAGTCGTAAATTTGGGAGCAGTTGAGGAACAAATATAAAGTAGGTATTTTCAAAGTTTTGAAACGGGACTGAGATCAAATCAATAAACTTGACAAAATATCTGTTTGCAGCAAAGTCAATTCACACAATTTTTACTTGTGGTCCTATTTATTACAATTACAGTCTGTTCAAGACAACTATTCAATTTAATATTTGTGTAATTAGGTTTTAAGTATTTAATACTTTATTTAAGAGTATTCGGTATCCGTATTTATCACTTTTAGACATGTATACGAGATTCAGTACTTAAAAATAATATTCATGAAGCCTAGAAAAAGTTAGGAGTATTTTTTTAGTAATTTCAATGTGATTCAGTGTTTTTCGCAATTTTAGACAACACTGTATAGTCTTTCCGATTTCAATTTACGAACCAAGATGTTGTTTGTATGTAGCAGGTTCGGTCGCTGACGCAACATTTCGGCGTTGAAATATTTGAGGAACTTGTTCCAAATGTTTATTTAGCCGCACAAACACAGTTGTGGCCGACCTGGCCATAAATTCAATTGTCAACAAATGGCCTAGCAGTGCAGTGCAGCAATGCGGAATTTGGTGTGATTCAGGTAATTTTAATTTATTATAGGCATCTTCTATTAATCATTCATATTTTTCAATTTTATATACAAATTATTATAATTTTTTACCTTTAGCAGAAAACTTTTTTAGGGACGCCTATGAAATTCATTAAATTTTATTGCTAGGCGTTTTTATACATGTTCAACTAACTTCGGAAAGACTATACCATTTTTAATTTGGAAAAAGCACGGCACTTGGATCGTACATTATATCGTAACTGAAATTTGAAGATACATAATTGATCTTACTTATTTTGAAGTTACGAACAAAAAAATGTTTTAATTTATTTTAAACTGCACCCATAGGATGCACATTAGTCTCTTGGTATATTTAAAAGTCCTGATTTCATTATACAGGCTTTTTGCATTACAATGAATCGTGCAAAATTACAATCGAACTTAATAAGGCAATAATTTACACAAAGTGAGAAAATAAACGTAACGCCCAAAATAACTACTCTGTATAACTGAAAACATCTGAAATGTGCAAAAACCCGTCTTAAGTGAAGCACCAGGTACGTAATAACGTTGAACTTTTACCTGTTCTAATAATCGCAATGAAAATTGAAAATGAAATTGCCATTAATCCTCAGGTATTTTTATGAGTTTGTGGATGAATATAAAGTAGAGTGGGACGAAGAGCTAAGTATACATTATGTAAGCACGAGACCGTCGTTTATTGTAACTCAAAAGTCCCTAATTGTACCCCAGGTGCTATAACCGTGCTGAAAACTGTAATAATCTGAAGGTGGTGAGATAATGAGCGCCACTAGTCTTTCTCTGGGACGTTCCGTAATGCTGAGCTATGGACGTTTTGTGTCGCAGAATATTAAGGCTTAAGTAGCAAAGGAAATAACAATAAATTTAAAAAAAAACACACCTACAGGGATGTATTAGATATTTTAGAGTGCTAAGAGTAAATAGTAAAATAAATTTATTCCCCTGGAGACTAAAACTGACTGCCGTAATTTGCGCACAATCTCAGCTACACACTCTGAGTAATTGTAATGAATTTTCACGCGCTCAATTTTGTCTAACCACAACGTGTACTACAGTATGTAACCCTGCACAGTTTTACTTTTGAGACACCCTTTAGATACCTACGTGTGGACTTTGGTGGCGGAGAATTGCTCTCCACATACCGCCATTTCTCCTGGGGGTAACCTGGCGTGGTCGTGGTGGTGGTGGTGGCATGCAACGCATGCGTCGCCTTGTGCTTTCTTCTCTCTAGTTCGATGCTCTTCTCCGAGCTACGGTGGTAGATGTGGTGCATGCTGGCGGAACATCTGATCTTCAGTCTGCCGTTGGCGAAGTGGTGCTCATTTATTTTCAGGCGTAGCGTTGCATAGGACCTGGAAAATAATATAATAAGATTTAATATAGACAATATAACTTTCTATTTACTTAAAAAAATTCAATCGAAATATACACGAACGAATTATTGTAACCCAAATTATTGATAAAAGTAGTTTCAGTATGTTACATCTTAATTATCGGTGGTACTCAGTGCCTTTGGCGTAAAGCATTGCTTTACACGTACTGGCAGAGAGCAACCTACAAATCTGTAAGGTACTGTAAAAGCATAACTAGTGTTGTACTACGCGAAATAAGCTTTTTAGCTAATATTGTTGTAGGAAGCAGCTACTACAATATCATTAGTTAAAAAGTTTATTTCACATCGCTGGGCTTCCATAATTACTACAAATTAGTAGACTGCTCTCTGTCAGCGGAGTACAAGGCAATGCTTTGTGTTAGTAGCCATTAAATAGCGTTGACAATTGATTGTTTTGTTAAGTTTTAAATTGAAGATTACTATGTGAAATTCATTCATTCAAATTAATATCACTAAAAACAGATAAGCTTCAATATCTCAAAAACGCTTAAATTTAAAAAATGGCCAAACAACGTAAATCTATAGTATTAATTTTTCACATTAATTTTCCTTTTGAGATATCCAAGTTGTACATGTAGATTGTAGAAAAACTCTCAGACCCGTCGATTTTAGATTAAAGGGAGACATTCTTTGCTGGTATTTTTGACTCCGCCACTTTCACCCCCAAGTTTAAGGGTAAGCATCACCCCAAAATATTTAAATGGCTTTGGGGGTTGAGTTATATTTCTTTTGAAAGCTCTTGCAATTCTCATTACAACAGACTTTAAATTTTGTAAATCCGCCCAATACTTATTAAGAATTTTGATTTTAAAGTTGAAACTTATGTACAAACAATTAGTAACGGTAAAAATGTCAGTCATTCGAGTTAAGTACGCCAATGGTATAAATTTAGTATTTCTTGCGTTACATTGGTTTTTGGCGATTTGTTATCACTTTCGTAAAAAAAAACACTATTGTAAAAAACAGAAATGAATGCTATACACACACAATGAACGTAAAATTAGTGGATTCCAAATTATTTTCTAGTATTATTTGGAAGCGTTGGTTGGTAGTTTATTTAATTGTGTTTTTGAAAATTAAACACTATGGTTTATTCCATTGCGGAAAGGGTAGATATCATTTCGCTTTACTTTATGAACAATAAATGTGCGAATAGAACAGCTCAGCTATTTAATGAACAACATCAAGATCGACATGTCAGGAGGAAGTATGTTCTAGAGTTAGTAAAAAAATTTCAAGAGACAGGGAACGTAGCCAATAAAAAACGAGAAATTGAAAAACCTATAGTTAATGAAGCTAGTGAAGTTGCAGTTTTGGGACAAGTTCATCTTGATCCTACATTAAGTACGAGGCAGCTGGCATCTGTGTCTGGGATCAATCGAACTAGCATACAAACCATTTTGAAGAAGAATAAATTCCATCCATACAAAATACATTTAGTCCAGGAACTTCATGAGGATGATTATGACCGCCGTTTGCAATTTTGCGAAATAATGAGTGAGCGAGCAGGGAACGATCCACAGTTCCTTTTTAACATCTGTTTTTCTGATGAATGCAGTTTTTTCTTGAACGGGACGGTAAATCGTCACAATTGCCGCTATTGGTCCGATTCAAACCCAAGAGTTTTTCACGAGGTGCATACACAGCAACCGGAAAAATTAAATGTATGGGCTGGAATTTTCGGTGACCGGCTGGTGGGTCCTTTTTTTCTACCTGGTAATTTGACTGGCCAAATGTATTTGCAATTACTGGAAGACGCTATTGACCCTGCCTTGACTGATATTATTGAAAATGTTCCAGAGTATGATGAAGATCATTTGATTTTTCAACAGGACGGTGCTCCTCCGCATTATGCGTTAATTGTCCGTCAGTATTTGGACCAACGTTTTCTACGGAATTGGATTGGGAGAAGAGGCAGCATTGAGTGGCCTCCACGATCACCGGATTTATCGCCCCTTGATTTCTTTTTGTGGGGATACCTAAAAAGTAAAATCTATAAAACACAGCCAGCGTCGCTGGAAGATTTGCGTCAAAGAATCGTCGACGAATGCCGTCGAATCACTCCGGAAATGCTTCGGAATGTGCGCGAACGTTTCGAACAAAATCTTTATTCTTGTATGGAAGCGGGCGGTCATCAGTTTGAACATTTAATCAACTAAGTAGTAAGTAAGCAACTAAACATAATTTAAATTTTAAAATGTAAATTTTTTTCAAAGTATTGGGCGGAATTATAAAATTTAAAGTCTGTTGTAAAGAGAATTGTAAGAGCTTTCAAAAGAAATATTACTCAACCCCCAATGCCATTTAAATATTTTGGGGTGATGCTTACCCTTGCTTGGGGGTGAAAGTGGCGGAGTCAAAAATACCAGCAAAGAATGTCCCCCTTTAATCTAAAATCGACGGGTCTGAGCGTTTTTCTACAATCTTGACGCAGTTCCTGAAAATGGCTGTTTCGTTTTTATTTGGCCACCCTGTATGTACGTATACCGATACACCTATGTATATGACTAAGTGCATTAGATACGTAGATATTCTATTTCATAGTAGCTCTTCTATCAAGAGAGTTCTTTTTCATTTTTGCCATCAGTTCGAGAGAATAAGTGCGAAATCTTGTTTTTATATGAAAGAAAAGAAAACGTCTCCGCGCAGATGTTTATTATGCGACTACGCGACCGAAGTCACAGTCGTACCACTGAAAGATTACGTCCAAAACAAAAAATTAATTTAACATCTCCATTTTTTCGCACATTTTATATTTTTTGTGATTTTACCACAGGAGACATTCTAGCGCAAGGATCTATTTCATTAATTATTTAATTTTTTCCATAGGGGACAAAATATTCAATAAATAAAGAAAACTATGCCACAAAAAATAATAGAAAATATATGTACCTATTATTTCCCTCAGCTGCAATATAATGTAATATTGTGTCTTGTGTACAACATACTAGGTATATATTTTACTAAATAATAATATGTAATCAATTTAAAACCATTTTTATATGAATTCAATGGGAAAACTAAAACTTGCGCGTAGTTCTACGTAAGCTGTCCGCATGCGAGCTTATGTGGACCCCTTTCGTTTCCACTTCTCGCACGGCCCTGCTCGAGTTCAAGTATTATGGTGGCGAATGGAGATTACCATAAAATAAAATGTTTGTATATGAGGGGCGACCGCTCTTCAAGAGCACAGTTGCAACTTCCATTAAAACAATATTATTCTGCTGAAGACGTTTTAAAGTCTCGTTAAAAGCTAAGTAAAACAGCAACTTTAAACTTCCTTCACGTCTGTCTAGTGGTGCACCGGAAATACTAATAAGTAGACCTGCGAAGGAGTTGAGTACTCTTGATTGTAATAACAACGTTCAGTTCAATTAACAGGTCCCTTTCCTAGAAACTAACACTCAAAAGAAGATAGCTGAGACATTAAGTCAGTAGCATTGCTATGACGTGTGTGTTGTCTGCATACACTTTATTTCAAATGTAGTGAATTTAATTATACTCTTTTCCTAAAGTGAATAATAAAAACGAACTAAAACGAAAAGTAATGATTAAGAGCTTTACTTACTTCCTTCAAATTTTCCCACTATTCTAGAGTACAACTATTAAATTTCACGCGTCCTCAATGAGGTTTAAATCTGGACACTTAAAAGACCGTCTTAAAATGTAAATATCTGTCTAGTTGCTAGAGCTAGGGTCTAAGCAGAAAGTAAAAACTTTTGTGAAAATTATTAACTACATTTTGAGTTTTAAAAATTACGGGATTTATTGAAAATTCCGTATTTACAATAAATTAATTTTAATTTATGAAGAGCAAAATGTAAATTTCGAGCATACTAGTGTACTTGTCAGGTATCGGTCTCTTGTTAAAAAGCAAAATACCAGGGTTGACATTCGAACACATCTCACGACAGGTCCGCAGAGGTCCTGCTGCGATCTGCGTCCTGATTCTGGAAATTTCTCCTCGAAATAGGCCCACATTAGTTTGCTGGCTGTTTCCCAATAATGCTAATAGCGTTGACGAAACGCACACAGAGAGCAGCGCAAGACAATGCTTTTGTATTTTGTGGAAACTCGTTAGTTTCGTGGATAGTCCTTAATGAGTTGTTTGCGCCACCTGCTTTCCGTACAAAATTGCAGTCTAAGATACAGATTGCAGTGACGTACATATAACTTAGTTAGCTAAAGCAGGAAGCTAACGACTTTGATTTTGCCACTTAGTTTAATGACTCTATGATGTATTTTAAATGACCGAGAAATTAGTTGTAGTTACTACCCCACAGCCGGTGATGCTCTTGTAGTGAATATCGAGCGGCTTGTTTGAAATTTAACTGTAACTCGTGATACGATTTTAGAAATCAGAAGTGGGGTTAGAGTGGAATTAATTAAACTTGGGGTTTTGAAATTTCTGATACTCATGTGCATGTGCACTGGATATTCTGAATGTTGGGAATATTAAAATATTACAAGAAAGACTATAAATTAAATTTTTTCATTAAAATGAAATATTTTCATAAAAATGTAATTTAATTGTTTTGTTTCGACGTGGTTATGGAAATCAATACTTTTTTCTGTAATTGGAAAGGAAATACAGTTTTATTACTTTGTAGAAATAACGCAGTGACTATTAATAATCGTCACAATCAAATAATCATCATACGCGATTTCATTAGTATTTTTTTTAATTGTACACATTGTACCCGTGTTAGATTACAATCAAGACTACAGTAGTATAATAGTTATTTATTGTATAACTGTTTTAAGCAGCATTTTATCCACTGAAGAATGTTATTCTTAAGTGGATAAAAGGCAATTAAAACACGAATGCAATACAAGTTTTATCCATAATCACATCACAATCATATTTGTGGAGTCAGAATTATTGGAATTTAATAATAAAATATTCTCACGACTAGTACTCAATGAAACTTGGTAGGTTTTGTTATATCTACTGGTTGC